ACGGTATAAAACAAAAAGATGTATTTCTTTTTTCTTTGTTTGCCTTATGGGTCTCTATTGCTTTAAAGAGGGTGCCATAATTGGGGAGGGGGGAGACAACCTTCATATACCAAACCAAGTCTTACTGCAGCTTAGGAAGCTATGCTGTGCATCCTATTATTATGCATATCCCCCATTGCAAAGGCTTAGCTTCATTTACGTTAACCGATGAAAAGTGAGTGGAAGCAAACATAAATCTTCAATCTGTCTGTAATCTCTTACAGTCTAACTCCTTTTACTTAATCTGCATCTTAACGTTTCGTCCTCTTCCTGAACAAATGAATAAAAAGCTTTTAAAATTAAAATAAACATTTCGTGGGAGAAAAGTGTTTGGTAGGAGAATGTTTGATACTAGAATGTGCACACGTTTTTATGAGCGGTTTTTATCCTGTCTTGCGTTCTTTAGATTTAATTTTAGATAATGCGCAGTAATGGAACGGGTGGCAATGCTGGGATATTTGTCATATAATTTGTCATTTAATTTTTTAGCAGGAGGAAATACGTCAAGGAGTGGTGGATTATAAAAATATCAAGGGCACAATATAAGCAAACCTGAATCCAGATTTGTGTCTAAAGGATGATTCTTTGTATGCTTATTCAGAAATGAGATTCCCTGTTTTCATAGGGACTCATGTCCAATTCCAGGAAAGTGTGGACACAAATGCATATTTAGCTTCTGATTCACAGCGTTCCCATAAGGTTCCCCTTTGTCCAACTTATGCCATTTTCATCATGTCATAGCAGTTCCTAAATGTCAGTGGAAAGAATATCTGCTATTAAAAAAATACCAATCTATGATTTAGGGCTATGGGAGCTCAAACTCATCTTTCCTTTCCTCCTCTCCTTTTCTAACATTGGTCAAAGGTGATTAAAAGTTTCCATTTAGATTGATCCTAATTTAACGTGTCATTTGAATTTTTAACCAATAACTCATCTTAATTAGTGCTAGCTGAAATCGTGAATTGTAACTATTGGCTTATTTCACCTGAGATTCTCCCCAATTTAATGCTTGGAATTTATATCAATATGCAGGTAAGATTTTTAAAAATGGCAGCAAAAGTTTCCAAACTCTTCTTCACTTTGGAAGAGGGGGATTTATGAGCAATTGCAACATTCACTGCTGCTCATTCTTATGCCAAACCATAATAATCTCAGTATTATGTCCAAATGCAGCCTCCTGTTTTAAATCTAGAAGTATATGGATCCAACTAAGCTGGATGTTTATGATTTTATTTTGGGGAAAATATGAGGAAGATATTAATAGGATGAGTTTATCCCATTGTGCAAAAGTCATTATTTGCAAAAGTAACCACTGGAATAATAAGACCTTTGTGCCAGATGACTTTTCACATTGTTATGACTCTACAGGTTGTTCAGTCAAACATAATGTACACTTGTAAATGCTTCAGGTGCAGTAGTTGAAACTGAACATCATGTTACTTTCATGAAGGGAAGTATTTGCAATCAGATATATATATGCACATACAGAGCAGCTGTCAATCTAGATGCAGCAAGCATATGCTGATGAAGGATGAATAGGACACTTCCCTGTTTCTCAGGAACGGAATTGCCCCAAACCAATTCAAAGATATTTAATTTTCTGAATCAAGTCCAGCATCTTTATAGAATGGTAATGACATGTTTCTTGAATACGACAAACAAACATCATCCCGACAGATTATCTTTCTGTTTACCTTCCTCTCTTTTAGTTTAAGAATTAAACAGAGGAGTTGTACATTTACTGACGAGCCTAAGACTACGAAGACTTGGAAGTAATACTGTTAATATGTACTTATACACCCCCATTTTCTGCATTTTGTCACTAGCATCTCTGGTTAAACTGGTTTTCAGGTTTCTGTAGTGTTTCCAGCAGTACTTCAAGCCCAAACTAGTTTTAAATTAACATTTTAGCAAGCAGTGGCTGCACATATCCAGCTGTTCAAATTTATATGCATCTACTTTTTATTATGCCATTGAAAAAAGCACAATACAAGACTATCCCCAACAAAGTCATTGCATACTAGGCGTGACCTAAAGTAAGAGAAATAGATTTCTCTTTGTATTATTTTACAATCAGTTGTTTTAAGAACCACTCATGCATGGTTTCCATCCCTTAAGTCTCATTAGGATGACTTTTGCATGTGCCAGCTACATTTTATATTTTGTCATGTGCCTATTTTCAGAGCATTTGCAATTCCACTCAGTCTGTGTAATTCCCAATAACGGTTAATGGCCTTTGTCCCCTGATGATCCAAGAGGCTTCTGCAATTCCGAAATCACTGTTGTAAAGCCATCAGTTGGCCAGTTTGTTTCCTCTTGACTGTTGCAGCCCAACAATCATTTCCCTTAACAAGACCAGAGGAAAGATATTGAAACAGACTTAAGTAATGACCCATTTGCGCATTATATTTTTTAACTGGTATAATTTCAAGAAACTCTAGTATTTGTTCTTGTTGCACTGTATGTATACTAAATTACTTTCTAGAATATGTCACCTTGAGCATTGTTAGGGGGAAAAAAACTCTATTTCAGTCACATTTAGAGCCATATCTTCTCTGAATTTTATTTTCTTGAGTCACCAACGACCTTTCTATTGATGTTTCATACATGCATGGAGAACTATATGTAATCACATCTTCCAGCATATCCCATGCATTTCAGATGGATACTGGCATTGAGAAATGGTCTTCCAATTTCTCCCGTATAGTTCTTGTCATTTGTCACGGACAGGTGCTGCTTATAGTAGATCTGCTGAGCATGGTCCTCAGATATGGGCTGAGTTCACCTATCTTGCTAAACAAGTCGTACTCTGAGACTGCTTCTTAAATTAGATTAAGCAGCTATAAGAATCATTTTGTGATTAAAGTTAGTTAGATGTTGGAATAACTTTATTGCCATTGTACAAGTACAAGTATTCCCAAGGATGGGAGACCTGTTTCTAAATCAATTGATTTGTTACTTGTGAGGTTGTTATAAGTCATACAGCACTTTAACAATACCGTTTTGTGGGTTGCTGTCTCAGCTCTTCCTCCAAAACCTTACACTTTTTCACTGTGGATAGAACTTGATTCCTAGTTATGCATTAGATACATAAATCCAATTTTCTTGGCAACAAAATGAAAAGGGCTTGCCATTATCTTCTTCAGAATGGTGTGTGTGTGTGTGTGTGTGTATCTGCCATTATAACCTACTTCTAATTTACATTCTACCTTTTCATTATTATGCAAAGTCATCTTGATGTTGCTGCCTAGATGGTGGAAAAATAAATGGAACCAAATAGACATATGCTGTTTTTGTTGTAATGGCAGTGGCAATACTTTGGACAAAATGACTAGTGAAGCTGTGCTGGAAAAGCGTGAGTCAAAAAGATTAACTTGACTAGTTGAATGTCTAACAGGCAGAAGCCACACAGTTATATTCAAAAGGCAGATTTGAACAAAACATGCCTTTCTTGTGGCAAAATAAGCATAAGTGGTGGGCTCCTGATGAGCAGAAAGTTGAAAGGCTTAAAAAGAGGGCTCCAGTCATAGATGTTATTATTCATCATTATTTTTAATGTGATTTGTCTTTCATGCTATCAGCTTATTTTCTTAATAGCCCTCTCATTTTTATACATACTGTCACAAATGGGTTTTTATGGATGTTCAGAGAAATATGAAAGGTATTGAAGAGTCTCAATACTGATTAATGTTTACCAAGGTTCTGTGAAAAATAAGTCAAAGAGGTGTTTTTTTTTTTTTTACAGAATTGATTTGCCTGTGCCTAGCTACTAACTTAATAGCTGAAGCAATACGTTAAACAGATTAAGCGAACTCCCAGCTTGTAGCACATTCTCTTGCTATCTCAGTTCTCTGTAAAGTGGATATCAGATCTTCTGCCTTCTACCATTGGAGCACCATGTGTGAACCTCAACTTCCAGAATGTTCAGCAGTGGTCATGCAAATTAAATTCTGGAAGTTAAAGTTCACACATTTGGATGGTTGTTGAGTTGCAGAAATCTGATGCATGAGACATCATGTGCGAAATTGTTTTGCATCTGGAAAGATACATTTGATTGTTGTGAAATATATTTGATTGTTGCGAAGTGTATGAAATGGCCATGGAGACAAAGTCATGGGGAAGTGGGCAAGAACTTTAAACATGCCCACCTGAGACTTCTTTGATGTGTTTCCCAGAGAACAGATGGTCCTCAACTTATGGCTGATCGCTTAGTCATTCTTTGAAGTAACAATGGACCTTCGCATGGTTACTTATGATCCAGATTCTAAATTCTCACAATCACCACCCACACAGTCACATAATCACATTTTGGACCCTCAGCAGTTGGCACACATTTATCACCATTTGCAGCATCCTGTGGTCATGTGAACATCTTTTAGAACATTTTTTTCCGAAAAACCATGTTTCGTTCCGGTTTCTGGCAAAAAACACCTATTGCAGACAATGGATTTCCACAACAACTGTTGTGCTTACTTAATGCAGTTCACTAATGATGCCCAAAGAAACGTTGCAAAATTAGGTGTGGTTACATGGTGACCCACTTAACAACTGGCATGATTTAGGACTATAATTCCAGGATCAATTATAGTTACAAATCAAGGATTATGTGCATATACGTCTCCCATCCAGAAACACAGTGAATGCCTCCTTCCCTGCAGTGGCAAGTTTGGAAGATGTCCTAGAGGCGAAATTCCACTTTTTATGGCACTGGCATAACATTCATTATATGCAAAGTAGATCACTCATTACTTACTTTATATTTTAGCCAACGTGTCCTATGTGACCATGTTTACTAAAGAGGACATGATGACTTCAAAGTAGGCGCCACTGATATAATTAAGTAAAGTTCTTTTGAAATAAGAAAGTTTGGGTTTTGAAAAAGTTGCATGATACATGATTAATATTCCTAGATAGAATGGATCTTAACATGAGGTGTGATGGATAACTTCTTTTTTCTCCAGGCCATTCATGCTTCTGCCCCCTCTGATGGAATGGATGCGAGTAGCTATAACCTATGCTGAGCACCGGCGCAGTTTAACTGTAGACAGTGATGATATCCGACAGACAGCTAGGCTGCTTTTACCTGGATTGGACTGTGAACCTCGGCAATTGAAGTAGGTTGTGTACATTTAATATTCCACCTACATTTAATCACAATATATTCCAATTAAGGCTGCTGTTTTTAAACACATTTTATGTACACATGCCAGAAGACTGATTTGTTCACAATGAGAAAGCCATCTATGTCAGTACCATGTTTCCCTGAAAATAAGACCTAACATGTTTTCTGCACGTGCACCCAATACAAGCCCTAGCCTCAAAATAAGCCCTACTTAAATGCCTGCCCAGTCTGTCTGGTTGCTTGCAGTGCCATTGGCACGAGGTGAGGTGAGGAGGGGTGGAGCTGCCTCACACATACATCGGCTTATCTCAGGGTCCCCACAGCCAGGTCATCCATGCTCCGATAACTGCTTCACGGTGGCAGCACCAGCAGTCATGTGCAGCAGGAGCCCACATGGCCATCACTTCTTCCAGCACTGGCACGGCACCAGAGCAGGAGGCTGACTGATGTGCTGGTGTCGTGGCCATGAGGCAAGGCGGGCAGGTGGAGCTGCCCTATGCACCCTGCACCAGCTTACCTCAGGGCCACTGCAGCCAGTCCATCCACACTCTGACAACTGCCTCACCTTGCGGTGGTGTCTCCGATAGCCCCATCCAGCAAGACCCCACCTGGCCTCCAGCCTACTTCTGCTTGCTTGTGTCTGCAACAGAGCAGGAAACTGAGCGACACACCAGTGCCACGGCCATGACGTGAGGCAGGTGTTGGGGCATAGGTGGCCTGGCTGCAGGAGCCCTGAGGTAACTCTGTGTGGGGCACATGAGGAGCTCCACCCCACCGCCTCACAACAGAGGCACTCAAATGAAATAAGACATCCCTGAAAATAAGCCCTAGTGCCCATAAGAAAATAAAACCAGGTCTTATTTTTGGAGAAACACAGGTGTTATTTCTGAAGGGCACATAAGATTTACAAACTTTAGCATTTTTTTGGCAATTAAAACAAAACTACCAAACCAAAAATAATAATAATCTTAATGGGACAAGCTCCTCCTTGGAGGTATTGTGAGTGACTACATGTGATCCCAAAGGTAAATCACAGTTTGTTCAAGAAAACTGAAGGACAGTATTTTTAAAGGTGAAATGATCAGGCACATAGAAAGGGCATCAAATAGCTTCTGTGAGGTAAAATTAGGCCACAATAACCTTTAGAGTTTTTTTCAGAGTATAAAAAATGTACAGAGGAATGACCTTGAAAGAATAGTTAACTTGGATTTTGAAGATGTTTTGACCAAATATAAAAAAACTATTGAGCAAACAGAGCAGTCATAAATAAGAAAAGATTGGTAAAGATTAAATAACAGAAATCAGAGAATAGGATTAAGTGAACAGTTCTTGCAATGGATGGACATAACCACTATCATCCTGAAGAGTCTGCATCAGGATGAATATTTTTATTCTTTCTAATCCAACAGAATATTGGAAGGAAATTATATCAAAGAGCTTGGTACCATCTGCCCTCTGGCTATCTGGCTACCAATAGGAAAACTCTCACAAATCAGAACAGGACAGGGCAAATTATCTATGACAGAAACATGCAAAACAATGATTGTGCGTAGTTTTTTTTAATAGGCTGGATTTGATTGGCACTGCAGAGAAAAGAAATCTAGGAAAAAATATATATCCCCCAGTGCATGTTAAGAGAAGCAGCTGGAAACAGTAACTTAGAAATGCTGCTGTTCTACTTTAAACCCCCACTTTTCTGGTCACATGACCCAGTGCAGAATGTGTGCAGCCTTCTCAATACTTCTCAGGGCACACACGCACACAAAGCAGAAACACACGTTCATAGCCTATTAGTTTGTTATGCAGGAGAAAGTAAATATGCCCTCTGTGGCCAAGCAGTTTGTAAGCAATTTATGAAGCCATGCTCTGTATGCTTTCTTTAACTTATTTATTTTACTTAGCTCACTTTCAGCCAACGTACCTCACAAGGGGGTTATATATTAAGCAGAATGGTAAGAATGTCTGGAGAAACTTACGGATAATTAAAACTATAAAATCCATTTCCACAAAATGAATCAGCGGCTACTGATTTTTAAAATTGTTTGGCCAAATTCATGAACAGTAAAATGTTAACACAACAACAGAATAACAAGAGTTGGAAGAGACCTCTTCTACTCCAAACTCTTGCTCAAACAGAACATCCTATACCATTCCAGGCAAGTAGTTGTCTAGTCTTCTTAAAAGCCTCCAGTGATAAGCAACCACAACTTCTGAAGACAAGCTGTTCCACTGGTTAATTGTTCTCCCCGTTAGGAAATTTCTCCTTATTTCTAAGTTGCTTTTCTCCTTGATTAGTTTCCATCCATTGTTTCTTCTGGTGCTTTGGAAAATAGTTTGACCCCATTTTCTTTGTGGCAGCCCCTCAAATATCAGCACACTACTATCATGTCCCCCTTAGTCCTTCTTTTCACTAGGCTAGCAATACCCAGTTCCTGCAACCGTTCTTCATGTTTTAGCCTCCAGTCCCCTGATGATTATCTCTGTTGCTCTTTCCCAGTGCAATGTGAATTACACTGTCAACTGTCAGGGGCTGCCAGTCATATTATGACAGGATACCTACATGAATCATAAAGAGTTGGTGCTATATGAATGAAAGAATGAATGAATGGCATTAAGTATATAAAACAGGAGTATGAACATATATTCCCTCCTAAGTATGCACAGCTTATGAAACCCATGCACATGGTAAAAAATCAGCTGCACACAAAATGATTTAAATTCAACAACAACAATAATAATAATAATAATTGTAACCACCTCTCATCATAAAATTCCAGACTAATGACTCATAAGTAATCCTGCTCAAGTTTGTGGTCTCAGCTTACCTGCAGCAGTGAGAATTGCTCGGTGCTCCCACAGCACGGACTGAGCAGGAGCACCACCTGACAGATATTCCCTCTCAGTCTGTGTTACAGTACTGCCAAGGTACCCTCACTGCTGCAGTTAAGGCAAGGTGGCAAGATTGTGCTTTTTGCCCATGATAGCTTTGTAAATGGTAGCCAATTTGCTCCAGGCCCCAGAGCCTCCAGTGTACAAAGGAGTGCTTCCTCCCCCCACCCCCGCCAAAAGAACCCACCCTTTTATTTCCCTCCTCCCTCAAAAAATGTTTCATTTCCCTCTTCCTTCCAAAAAAAATAGTAATAATTCATTGAAAAAGGCTTAATTTTCCTTATCCCTCCAAGAAAAGCTTTAATTTATTTCTGTCTTTCCTTCCCCCAAAAAACCTTAATTTTCCACCACTCTCCAATAAAGGTTTAATTAATATCTGTGGAGTTACTACAGATCCATGATTATTCATGATTGCTAGGATACTTGGATACTAGCATCCTAGTGGTTGCTAGGTTGACCATTGTGGTTGACCATTGTGGAAACAAAAAGCTGCGTTAGTTGGGCCTTCCATGTTATTCAGTACAGCTCTTCTTAAGATGCTCTGCTGTTCTTTAAAGAACCTTCAATATTACGGCATGGAGTGTTCTAGTACAGACTGTATAAACTAATAGCAATCAGTTCTTTCACAGTCCAGTTGTTATATATTCTACCGGTTTTGCCATCATTGTCTGATGTCTTGGTGTCATATGTTTATCATATTAATCTTAAAATACCACTTGAAAAAAATCGATATTTATAACTCTTCAAAATCTCAATATTTATAGGCAATTATTTTGAGGATGAGACTAACTTTAGCTTATGGATACTCACCTTTGGAGTATTACTGTACATAAGTATATTTTAGGCATGAAAGGTTTCAGTTAAAATCTTTAACTCTTTCATAATCCTGTATGGCTTCAATTAAGTACTCTCAAGGATCTCTGAAAAACTATCAAAAGTAGTTATTATAAGAAGAAAAATGCATTGAAGTGGAACAGTGTTTTTTATTGAAGAGTCAGTTGCAGTCAGGTGGCATCAATATCAAACAAATAAATAAATTAAATTTTAAGATTGCTAAATTAAATTCATTGAACAGAATATTATCATTTTTCTTTAACTGCTCAGAAATGGGCTAACAGTGCAAAATTTCTTTCTTCCAAGTCTTTCAGTCTAGCATTTCCAAAAGTGCTGAATCTAAGTAAATGCTTTTTAAGAAACAAATGGATTTCTGTCGAAAGTTTAGAATAAACAAAAGTCACACATTGGAATTTCCCAATCTGCTTCTCTTGGCAGCAGCACTCCATATTGTTTTCCTAACCTCAACTGCTTTATCTGATGCAATCAAAAACAAAATTAGTCATATGCAGCACCAATAATTAAAATATAAGTACCCTATCTGTTCAGAGAAAGAAAAGCTTTGATAATTTCATCCAAGTCTCTCAGCGGGGGGAAAGGACCAAACATCTTTGATTTACACATACAGAAGAAAGTGCCAAATGAATCTGCTAAACTGTCCATATAAAAGACCTATTGGGAGACAACCACACAACAAGATTAAAGTTAATTCACCAATATGGGAGACAACTGTAGGTTGACATTAAAATGTGCTGACTGCACTTCCAACCCTTATTCTGCCTGGGCATCGAAACAATGCCCATTGTCTTCCAGAAGCCTGCTGGACACCAGTAAAAATTGCTCATACCCAACCATGTAGATCAACTCCTACTAATCGATCTGTAGTTTCAATCTGACAACCGATGCCTACGGAGCAATTTTCTTTCCATTTCCTTTTTCTGGACAGTTCTTTGCAACTGCATAGAAAACCTCAGTAAGATAGAAGAACTTGTGCCTCAAGAGCCCTTCCCCATGCTCACATGCACGCACGCATACAGACTCACTCAATGCACACATACTTCTCTTGCTATCTCACCCAGCCTGGCAGCTGCACAGTTACTTGCCAAATCTGGTAAATAAAATGGGTGTCTGGCACAATTGGATTTTCCTGTTGCCAAAAGATTGAAAAATAATGGTTAAGGACCAAAGGGGTAGATATGGTCACAGTGGCTTCAAATGGGCAATAGGAACAATAGGACCCTAATCTTTTTGTAATATGTGCTGTAGCATCTACATGATCAGAAACCTTCTGGAGATGCTATAGAGCATTCACCTGATGATCCCTTCTCCTGGTGGCTCACTCCCTTTAGAACATTATATCCATGGAAATTAGACTGGCCCCCACTTTGCACTCTTTCTCAAGGCCCTGGGAACCTGGTTTGGCCTGGGGAACCCAGAGTGGGAAGGAGCCCATCAAGTGGCTTGTTAAATTGATTTTTTTCATTGCCTGGGAGTTAGAGTTAAGGTTATTTGCATATTGGGCTTTTATTTTTTGGTAAGCTGCCAGAATCGCTGAGAGTGACAGCTATATAAATTCTCTAACTAAATGAATAAGTCCCTGCATAGTGGGACGAGTTGAAGACAAGGTCATCTGTTAACAAAATGGTTAACAAAGCGTTTGTCTTTGGTCTGATCTACCCATGGTCAAGTGAGATGAGCATGAATGATAGGATTGTAACTTTTCAGCCTGCAAGAGGAATTGTGTCTGTTTGTAGGAAATTTGAGTTAGAAATATCATTTAGAAAGATATCTTTATCTGAAGTCTGTAATTATACAATCCTTTATGCCACCTCAGATTTCTGCCATATCAAATGTAAAACAGTCCTCAGATTCACAGTGAGGAAGACAAATACTTTAGCAGGAATGATATGAAGTAGAAATAATTCTAGGTCTTTTATTACATCTGTTTCTGCCTTAGTGAACTCAAGATCACAACATGCTGGGATACAGGATCCTAGCTGTAATATTAATAACAATATTAATAAACTGTGGTTTTATTGTTCCACAGGCCAGAATGCTGCTTTAGTTCCTTCCGGCGAATGGATGCAAAGGCTGCTACTGAAAAATTCCAGCAGGATCTGGGGTTTCGAATGTTGAACTGTGGAAGGACTGATCTGATTAACCAAGCTATAGAAGCCTTAGGACCTGAAGGTGTTAATGCAATGGATGATCAGGTATATAAAAATCAGTTCTATAACATTCATGATATAGATGAGCAAGATTAAAATCCAAAGTCCAGGTTATTGCAATCATATAAACTTATACTCTTCTCAAAATCAGCATGTAAACCTTTTTACTACAGGTTGACTCAGGGCTGCTCTGATATTCTGCATCATTCAATACCAGGAGTTCTTAACTGACTCTAGTTATTGGATGTATGTGTGTTTCTTTTCCTTTTCATTAGGAATGTTGAAGCATCATCCTGTTATTGGAGACTTCAGTCAATAGAAGGCAGTAACTAAATTTATAAGAGGAAATGCAAGAATTTCAGATGCTTCATTAATCTGACCGATATCATGAAGGCATTGTAAAGTTTTATAGACAAAGTAAATTTGTAAAACAAATACAGTAGCTATAAACCAATATCGTTTCAGTGTTTCATAGCATGTCTTCTGGAGCTCACTTCTGCCTACCTCTGAGGCCACTTCATAACACAGTGTGTTATGTTGACATAGGAATTTTGTGTTATTAACCTGTGTTTATGCTTTCACGTGTTGTGTGAATGGGTTCATTTTATGTCTCACAGACAAAAAAGAGAAGCAAAAGAATCATGTGCAGCCTTTAAGCATTTCTACAGGAGAATCAATATAAATTCTTACACTGAAATCAGTTCCATGCCTAGTCTACTTCCAATGTTTATAAGAAGAAAAATATTTATGCCAAAGTATATCATACATGGATAACACACATGTATCATAAAGTGTAAGGAAACAAATGTGCATATATAGAATATATAGAACCAAACATTTTGTTTGTAATCTTTGCTTTTTGGAAATAAAATAACTGGCTGGGTACATTGTTCTTAAAGGGTATGACTCCACTCATGTATGCCTGTTCTGCTGGAGATGAAGCCATGGTGCAGATGCTGATTGATGCTGGAGCAAATCTGGATATACCAGTAAGTGAAAATCAGCCGCAGAAAGGGAAATAGGTAAATGGGTATGGATTCTTATTTAAGAATTGCAAAGTGAAATATTGTATTTTGAGGTTCATATAATATATTTGCTGAACAGATTTGGAGATAAATTTCTTTCTTTTTAGAAATGATGGTGATAGTGGTACTTATGGATTCTACAGCAACAATACCTGCCGTAGGTTAATTACAATGCAAAGGAAAGCAGAAATTGAAATAATAAATTCTTTTCCCTCTGCAAGAACAACCTACAACCTCTAAACTAAACTAGCAGATGCATTTTAAACCAAGAAACCAACCAACCAGTCTAAAGAATTAAACACACCGATTGGTATTGGCAGAATTTTCAGAGTTATGTCAGCCTACAGATTCCAAGGATTGCAATTTATCAGGGTTGTGCTATTTTCAAATGCATTTTAGGAGCTTAACAACAAGAAGAATTGCAACCAATAAACATTTCTTCCTTTTTCCCAGGTTCCTGGAAGTTCATCTCGATACCCATCAGTTCATCCTGATAGCCGACACTGGACTGCGCTCACTTTTGCTGTATTACATGGCCATATCTCAGTCGTCCAGGTCAGCAAAAGACAAGTTGTCAAAGTTTCACATGCAACCTGAAAAGAACGTGATCAGAGATCCATAACACATCACTAACAAGATGAAAATCCATTCTGCCTGGGATTTTGTCAATTGCTTCAACATGTCTGGAAGGCACTAGTCTGCATTTGCTGCTGAATATGCCTCTATTTAGAAGTATATTTGTTCTCACTAGCAATGAGAGCCAGCTTGGTCTAGTGATTAAGCCAATTAACCTTACTAGCCAACAGGAGACTCAACAATCTAGTCCCACCTTAGTCATCAAAGCCATCAAAGGCATTTTGGGGCTAGTCATATATTTTATCCAATAACTGACCTTGGCCCACTCATTCTCTCTCAGCCACCTCACACATATAAACCAGAGTTATCGTTGTAGGGAAAATAAGAAGAGGATGCTTTATTCGATATGTTTCTCACCTTCATATACTTGTAAAAATAATCAGATGGATACAAATAATAAAATGCCTTTCTCAGATTTTTCCAGAGAAACTGAAAGCTTCAGGGTTGACACTAGCAACAATTCATAAATGCAAATTTAGGAGAGAGGTGGCACCACTAATTATTTCAGAAACAAAGCATTCCTTTCATACTCATTTATTTTTGGATATTTTCACTGGGGTAGACAATGTTTGCAAGCTGGAAGGTACATAATGTGCCAAGGTACCTGATCAGGCACATTTATTGGCATGCATTTGTGTATACGCTGAAAGGTAGAACTGTCTCCATGCATACAAAACATACAATCTTCAGACACTTATTTCACATAGACACAGGCAACTGCATGCAAAATCTATACAACCTTGCACTATTGTGGATGAAAAGCCAGGTGTATACATAAACCAACCTTCCCTTCTCAAAGCAGTTTTAGTTAGAAGGAAGTAGGAAGTTGTCTTTAATTCCTTGTAAAAGAAATCAGAAATTGCTTAGCTTGGAAAAATGGGGAAAGGGGTACAGGGCTGGAGACCTTGTGAAAATGTTGTGGGTACAGATACAAAGCTCTCTATGGGCATCCTCATGCAAGCACTTCTCTCAAGCCAAAGTGGTATACATATATAAGTAGTAGAGCAGCCTCTGCCTCAGACAGTTCAAAAGACAAGGGACACAAAACAGAAGGGATTGAGATGGAGGAGGACAAAAACTGGTGCAGGCTGTTCCTTTCAGTTACATATCTTATTATAATGGTTTGATTGGAAGAGAATCCATCCAAATAGCTTTATGGAATGGTGCTCAGCTAGTGAGATTTGAGAAGACAGAAACAGTCAGATGCCATGAATCCAAAAATAGATACAATAATTTAGGAACAATTCTGAATTCTAAGCATATTTCCAAATGATTTTCCATATTTGCTACTTTTTCAGAAACAGCTGAAATGTTATGTTTTCATGCACCTGACATTGTCTCTTTGAAAATTACCAGAGCTTTAAAAAACAGACAAAGAGAGAAATTTTTAGAGTTGGTAAATTAAATTCCAAAAGTGATGTATGTTAGGTCTATCAGATCTGGTCTGCAAAATTCCAGATAACCACTAGTGAGTAGCAGAGGCTTACAAAATGTTATTTGCTGCCATCTACTGACCATCTGGAATGTTGCAGTCCACATCTGGTAACCTTAGTGTAGGTCTTACCACAACGGCAACCAAGGAAAGTACCGTAGTTGCCATGATTAGCAGTCTCTCTGCCTGCACTTCTTCTTCAAATTCCTTGTTGTTTTTCACAGTTGCTGCTGGATGCAGGGGCCCACGTTGAAGGTTCTGCTGTGAACAGTGGAGAAGACAACTATGCTGAGACACCACTTCAACTGGCCTCAGCAGCAGGCAAGTCTCAGCAAGTGTTGTATTTTCATCCTAATAACATTTAGAGATTTCTCCACGTCAGCAATTTCATCTCCCAGTATTGGCTGACTGTGGAATTATTACTGTGGAATTATTATTATTATGTGGCGTGCATAAGCGCACCAACGTGCCTACCGTCCCTGTCCTATTTTTCTTATATGTACCCATTTCATATATTCACAACTATGTATACACTTGTACTTATTATCTTGTAAACAATTGACAAATCAAATAAATAAATAAATAAATTCTGGGACTTAAAGTTTTCATACCTTAAATTTGTTGAAGTTGAGAAATATTGGAGTAGGCACATAATCTTAAAACAATTGCCTCCTTTGAGTTTCAGTCTGACTATGAAGTGTCAAATTTGAAAGAAACGATATTTTCAGAGGTGCCAAATATTTTTTTATTTAATATAGTCATGCAGTTCCTGACAGACTGTTTGCAGTGGGGCACTGAGACTATGTAGGATTATTAATTGATGAAATGTACTTAGTACTTAGTACACAAGATAATATGTGATTCTAGTGTATGCACATAGATCCACTTGACATGATTTTTGCTCCCTTTTTGTGCAGTGGAAACTATAATAGAAAATAATGGTATGCATATAAATATCCACAAACTTTTGCACATTATTGTATATGCACAGGGAGATTTGATCCCCACATCTTATCAAATTTACAGGATCACTATTACAAATTAGAGGGAAGAAGAGGAAGGGAGGGAAAGGAAGGGAGGAAGGGAAGGGAAGAAGGGAAGGACTAACTGCTATCTTACAACTTTACAAAAAAACCATCAATACAACTCTTGCATTTCTAGGCAACTATGAGCTGGTCAGTTTGCTGCTGAGCCGAGGAGCTGATCCCCTTCTGAGTATGCTGGAGGCCAATGGGATCTCCTCATCGCTTCATGAAGACATGAACTGTTTCAGCCATGCTGCTGCTCATGGACATAGGTAAATCATAGACATAGGTTGGTAAGTGTAGACAGGTGTGCCCCATGGATGATAGGAGAAGAGGTGCCACCTCTTTTTCCTTCTGTGCTTTCTATCAGCATCTGGAGCAAGGGATTTGCTTGGGTTCTTTCACAAGACATTATTAAAGGCAGGGGTGGGATTCAAATTTTTAACAACTGGTTCTGTGGGCGTGGCTTAGTTGGTGGGAGTGGCTTGGTGTTCGTGTGACTGGGTGGGCGTGGCTTGGTGGTCATGTTATTGGCTGGGTGTGACCAACTCAATATCACTCACATCGAGGCACGCATCTCCTCACCTGGCCTCTCATGACTGTGGGGATGCTGCAACAGTCGTAAGTGTGAAAAATGGTCATCAGTCACTTTTTTCAGTGCCATTGTAATTTTGAATAGTCACTCCACACAAGCAAAGTACCAGCAAAGGAGGGGAAAAAAACTCCAGAGAAATTCCTGAGACAGGAAGTCTAATCCTGCCAATAATGTAATAAGGGTTAATGGAGAGGCAGTTTCTGTAAGGAACACCAGAATGTTTCCTTCCTGCCTTCCTTACAGGATTAGGCTAGTAATTTCTTCTAACAACCGATTCTCCGAACTGCTTAGAATGTTAACAACTGGTTCTAGTGAATAGGTGCGAACTGGTAGAATCCCACCCCTGATGAAAGGCCTCTGGGTGGTTCAATAACATTGCAAAAGGACACTGTGGATTATGGATTACAGTGCAAGCTCAGAGAATAATGGTCTGTCCTTTATTTTTTCATTTATTGGGTGTCACATGATAGAAACAGTAGTTTTGCCAGGACATTTCTGCAGCCTAATTCAATTGTATTCATCAATGCAATAATGCATTTTTAATCATTTTGTAAATATCAGCCAACTATTCATATTTTTGCTACCATCAAGAGAAAAATTTATATTTCCAAATTAGTAGCTTTTGTTGTGTTATTTTTTTATGGTGAACCATTGGCCCAGAAACTTCAAATAGTAATAGAAAACACCCAAATTACCAAAAATCAAATAAATTAATAAAGTACAATAGAACAAAATAGTACAATAAAACAAAAAAAAATACTTCAGTAATCAAAGTCGAAAATAGTTAAAACAGATAATGTTGCTAAATTCCACCTTTGCGTTTCTCTTGCTTGTCTAGAAAGATTCCTTGGCATCGTCAAAATTATTTTTGTGGGCGTAGGCATTTACTAATCAAATTACCAGAGTAAACTGAGTTATCTCATAGTTTCCAGATCTGTATAGCTCTCCTTTGGCTTCTACTTTACAGAAATGTCCTGCGCAAGCTGTTGACCCAGCCACAGCAGTCGAAGGGAGATGTTCTCTCACTGGAAGAGATTTTAGCAGAGGGTGTGGAAAGCGATACTTCCAGCCAAGGAAGTTCTAATGAGGGCCAAGTTAAGTTATGCAAAACCAGAATGAAAGCGTTACAGGAGGCCATGTATTACAGTGCCGAGCATGGCTATGTTGATATCACAATGGAACTGAGGGTACTTGGTAAGATTTTGTTTTTGACTCTCCTTATCATTGTAAGACATGGAAAATTTCCTTAAGTCACTTGAACGTGTCCGTGTGTGTATTAAATATATATATTTAATGCTGGATTTATTTTAAAAGGCTACCTGACCAGATTGTAAAAATAAATAAATCGGACTATTACTAGATGCAAAGGCTTCTGTAATCTCTTTGCTGCCATCTAGTGATTGTCTGGGTTTCTGCAGGCAAGATCTTGCAAACTAATGGTAATTACCTGAGCTACTGAGCCATGGTGGCACAGTGGTTAGAGTGCAGTACTGCAGGGTACTTCTGCTGATTGCTGGCTGCCTGCAATTTGGCAGTTCAATTCTCACTGGCTCAAGGTTGACTCAGCCTTTCATTCTTCTGAGGTGGGTAAAATGAGAACCCAAATTGTTGGGGGCAATATGCTGACTCTGTAAACAGCTTAGAAAGGGCTGTACAGCACTGTAAAGCTAAGTGCTGTTGCTATTGCTATTGCTACTGCATTCTGAACAAAATGGCTTCCTCTGATGGGCACCTTCACATAAAATTTTATGGCAGCAGTTTAGGAAGTGAACAAGGCAGGGCTTGTTTTGGTATAATTTTTTAATTAAGAATTTTTAAAAGAAGATTAAAAATAATAAGTCTAGTGGTTAAGGCACCGTGCTAGAAAGCAAAAGACAAAGAGTTAAAGGCCCGTTTCTTGGCCATGAAAACCAGCTGGGTGACCTTGGGTCGGTCACTCTCTCACAGCCCAACTCACCTTACAGGGTGGTTGTTGTTGTGTGGAAAATAGGAAGGGGAAAGTATTCTGTATATATTTTCCACCTTGAGTTATTTGTAAAAATGATAAAGGTGGGATATAAATAAAATAAAATAAAGAAAAAGGAAATAAAGAAAAAAGTAAAGAAAAAGAATGAAAAGAAATAGAAAGTAGTAGCTTATATTCCTACTTGTACACTAATTCTTGCTGCAAAGAAAATAAGAAGCTACATTAAGGCAGAACTTTTTGATCCATTAGTAGATAATGTATGTTGTAAAAAATTTAGTTGCATTCTAATTTATTCCAGGAAGAATGTTTGGAAAAAGCTGAGGAATCAGTTTTATTATACTGAATTAATGCTATAGACTGTGCTGTAAAATATACATTATTGGTGAAATAACTGAACTACAGTAATAGGGGAATACTTTGGCAATAAATAAACTTCAGCTTTGGCACTGATACCATTATCCTGAAATAAAGATATATTGTCCTGAAATAAAGATTGACTATTAAGAAACAGTCACATGCGCTTCAATCCTCTTAAGTGCTGGAAAATTGGTTCTTAAAACTTTGGAGAGTTTGAATCTTCCTCTTTAAGGAGGAGATCAGACCTTTTGAAAATGCATTAAATGAGCATTAAAATGAAAGAGCCATCTCATTATTAGGGCACATGAGCTGCTCAAATGTTTTCTGCAGTTTAAATGAGATGCGGTCCAGTGCAATATCTTTTTAAATTAAGTTTGAAAACATTAGATTGAGAATATTGGACTAATCCGAGATGAAGATCAGATTTTTCATTTAAACAGCTATATAAAATGGGTCATTTGGTAACAAGCCATATTTGATTGGGTTTCTTCTGTCTATTTTCTCACTTGGGTAGATAGAGGTTCTGCCCTGCCTTGCATTCTTTCCTTAGAACTGAAATGATGTTTAAGAAGAAGAAGAAAACAGCAGCATCTGAATTCTAATCTTTATTCTTGTATGAAAAGAGCTACAAAGCATTCTTGCAAATTTCTCATTTTAAAAGCAGGCATTCTTTCTTCACCTTTCATTTTTGCTGACAAGCCGAGGAAGCAAAAGAAACACTTCATTTTAGTTCTGATTAAAGAAGCAGATTTTTTTTTCTTGATTCTATGTTTCCCCCATATTGTTCTGTAGCAACTTGATTTGCTGATGTACCTGCTCTTGGGTTATAGTTAGAATTGGAGCTAGGGATAGGGAATCCAACTATATTCTGGTTAGAATAATTCTCCAGTTAAACCAGCATGGCTTTGCTTCATTTAATCCCTTGAGACATGTTGGAGATGAACCAGATACGCTTTTATGAAGTCCAGTGCGGTTCAGACTCTTGGATTGGGGAAGACTGACAAGACTTATTGATCATGATTTTAAATAAGAAAATAAAAGCACCATTAATATTTTTTCTCAGCACTCAGTGCTACTGTACAATCTACCAGCTAGATATGGGATATTCAGAAGCATGAACAGCAGAGAACTTCAACAGCAGTTGCAGAAAGTGGGATTAAACCTACCTGCCTACTTTCTTTGGAAATCATGTATAGATCTCCAAATGGATAAAAAAGAAAAGAAAAAATAGAGCAGCTCACTACTTAGTTGAACTAATGTGTTATCTGACCTTGAGTAATTCCTGCCAATCCTGTGCTATGATTAGAACAGTCTTGGAGTTGCTCCGGTACCATGCCTGGAAATGTCTTCAAATTCTTCCTACATAACTAAGAATAGACTGCACAATTTTGTGCAACAATGGAGATGTCTATTCATTAGCAGATTTGTGGCAATGGAGATAAATAATCATACAATCCACCCTGATCATTTGCATAGATAGTTTCACAGTGACAGCAGTGTGGGAACTGTAGTCATGCATCCATGATATTAAGCATATCATCCATGCGCATAAAGATAAAACAAAAGCAGGTTCTTAATTGTGTTAAGATCTGTTATTTTTTATAGTAATCCTTAAAAGATAATCACATCACTTATATATCTATTTGGAATCTTGTACCTCCCTGTGCCACCCTGTGTCATACTCTATAAAAAGTTTCTAGTACTATTAGAACATTAAACTAAACTTGATTTGATACAGAGTATGTATTTGCCTGTTGCCGGTTGAATGTCCATGCTTATTAGTAAAATTGCATTTCCCCTTTCTTTTGGAATGATTCCAGGAATCCCATGGAAGCTGCATGTATGGATTGAGTCACTACGAACAACTTTTTATCAATCTCGTTACTCAGTAGTACAGAACCTCCTACGGGAATTTGTCACTATTAAAGAAGAAGAATACAATGAAGAGCTAGTGACTGATGGACTGAAACTAATGTTTGAAATTCTCAGAACCAGCAAAGTAAGCTATTTTAAAATTGTAAGCATCACTTCAGCTCCTTATCCTCCTTTCCTAACTTCATTCTTGATGCAGAAATCCAAGGATCTCAAATGCTTATATGATTTTGATGATCTTTGGCCTAGGCAAGACATGCCAATAATGCACTATATAAAGAAAGACCTCTACTGATACTAGGGTAGATCTCAAAGATACCAATTATCAAGAGTCATCTACCGTACCCTTATTGCTTGTTAGGTTGCTTGCACTTCCTAGTCATTCATTCATCCATCCATCCATTCATTCTGCAGCTGGATTTGTTGACTTTTTTTCTTCTGAAGTTTCAAGCACTCAGAGGTAGAAATCCATTAAGTATCCTCCTCCTCCTTGATCAACCTTCAGAGCTGTATATTTCTGACACTAAAATGATAGTTCAATCAGAAATGTGAAAGAAGTCAAAAGGCTGAAGAATCTCACAGTTCACAATCACATACAAGAGGAAAATTAAGCCAGTTAAAATAAACATACCATCTGGATTAAGCTTTCCTGAATGTGAATACAGCAATCTCACTGAGTCCTTATTCTGGAGAATATAACAAAAAGACAGCTGCACATTTCACATTAGCATGTTTGTCTCATTAGTTATTCTTATAGAAAATGGATGTGAAAGCAGAGAACTAGGTTTAAAAGAATGGTTGGGTTTTGAAACTCAAGGCTCACCTTTGCTTTGTACTTAAGTTCTTGGTGCAGTCCCTTGCTTTTAGCCTCACCTGTCTACTTGTTGAGAAAAAACTGTTTCGGGAAAGGGTAATTTTCTTCTCGTCTTAACCGTTTTGATAAGATATTTACAATGAGCTCTAAAATTGTAACCTAACCAAAAAGAGTTTAAGCTATTGGAAAAACATAATTAGTTCTAGATGTTTCACTCACCTCAGCTATATTTATTTATGCTTGTTTACTGGCAAAAAAAGCTCTCTTTTGCAGTAGAAACCTTAATTCTAATAATAACTTAAATCATCTGCTGTTGTCAACAGCCACTCAATCATGTCCGACCCTCGGCCACTCTATGGTTCAGCACTCTCCATGCCCCTTTGTCTCTCACCACGTCCTTCAGATGTGCCATGGTCATCCCGGTGTCATCTCCCTAACCTCTGGTCCATGAATTGGCACCAGTCCATGGCATGAAACTAGATCATGCAAACAAGTGAAGCCCCATCCGTGGGATGCAGGCAGCACAAAAAAAACTAAGCCCCCATCCCCCGGTCCACAGAAACAGTCCCTAGCGCCTAAAAGGTTGGGGACCACTGCTTTATAGGGCTACCCTAGTACCCAGATAATGGGTACTAGCGTGGCCCCTTCTCCTTTTTTCTCTGTGGATCCTAAACTGGGAGATTGGCTCCAACAGTTCCCAGGAACAACCTCAGAGCTCTCTATCCAAAAGAGGGAAGTACCAGGATCAACAGAGATACTGTGCAGAACCCTCAAATTCATGGGCCTTTGGTAAAAACAGATACCACCCGTAGGGTTGAGAAAGGAATTTTATTTATCTTAGATATAGGTATAGGTATCAGTGCAGATACAGCTATTCTTCCCTCTGTGCGTAAGGCATTCATCCTTGGCAAAGAGATGAATTCAAATATCTTTTGCTCTCCTCTATATAATAAAAGCAGAATAATGTGTTTCTTTAACTTGTCTATTCACAGAATGACTCAATCAGCCAGCATCTCGCAGCTATCTTTACTCACTGCTATGGAAGCAGCCCCATCCCCAATATTCCTGAAATCAGAAGGACACTGCCAGCCCGCCTAGGTAACTTAGTTAACCTTCAATCAGCAGTTATTCGGTGGATATTGATTTCTTACTATGTTTCTCTACAATGAAACCTAATTAAACTTCCCTCTTTTTCTCTTCTATGCAGATCCTCACTTTCTAAATAACAAAGATATGTCTGATGTGACATTTCAAGTGGAAGGAAAACTATTTTATGCTCATAAAGTTCTCTTGGTTACTGCTTCAAATAAGTGAGTTTCTCCCTCAGCGAGTAGTACTTGGTACTGAATTATGCAAAGGATCTCCCAGTTACAGAAAATGGAGGATACCTTATTCTGTACCAACAAAAAAATTTTTTTTAGGAGTTGCTTGTTAGGTGTTAAAGAGGACTCAAAAGAGAGCAGAATTCTAAGAAACCCTGCAAAGTAGGATCCTCAAGTTAGGTCTCCCCCCCCCCCCCCCCCCCAACCCTGAGGGGAAAAGGCCATAGAAGAGGGATAATAACCATCCCATCGTGTTTTCTCCTTTAATACCTAGTATTAGAAGGATACTATAATTATAACAGCAGAAGCCACTGAGAGATCAAGGAAGGTTAGGATAAGTGCACCACAACCATCCCAATCCTTCCAAAGGACATCTACAAGTGCAATTAACACCATCCTGTGCTGCATACAACAATTATACCCCAATCCCAAATTCCAAAATTGCACAGGCAGTAAGGGATTGTGCTTGGACCCAGGTCAGAAAACTGACAAGAGTGAGTCCACATCACTCATAAACCATTCAAGAGAATAGATTTATAATATTTACCAAGCCCAGGATAGATAAAAAGAAACTTTGACCTCTGCTTCCAGACAGAAACATGGAAGGCTGGAGGTCATAGGTTAATTTAAAAGTTTGCCCTTTTAAAATAATAATAATAATAATGATAATGATAATGATAATGATATCATAAGCCTGAAAAGTAGTAGAAAATGAGCATGCAAAACTACTGTGGGACTTCCGAATACAGACTGACAAAGTTCTGGAACACAATACCCCGGATATCACGATTGTGGAGATAAAGTGTGGATTATCGACACTGCCATACCTAGTGATAGCAGAATCGACGAGAAACAACTTGAAAAAGTCACCAAATATCAGGACTTGAGAATCGAACTGCAGAGACTCTGGCATAAACCAGTGCAGGTGGTTCCAGTGGTACTTGGCACACTGGGTGCTGTGCCTAAAGACCTAGGCAAGCACTTAAAAACAATTGGCGCTGACAAGATCACCATTGGTCAGCTGCAGAAGGCCACCTTACTGAGATCTGCTTGCATAATCCGCCGATACATCACACAGTCCTAAACACTTATCTAGTCACTCCTAAATAAATCTACCAAGCACAGAAGATGTAATATTATACGTCAGTTCCTACAGATTTGTGCAAAATAGAGTAATTGCTGGTCAGGATCCTGTAGTTGAAACAGATTATTTGCAGTTTAGATCTGGATTTATGTTAGTGCTTTGGTGAACAGCTTTGCTGAAAGAAATGGGAGGTATTATGTGATTGATTACCTTCTGTTAATCTCATTACCTTGGACTGCGCAAGATTAGCCTATTTGATGCTGGTAGATAGTTGCAGTTATGCCATGGAATTTCCTAGGATTCTGCTCATCTATCTTTCATGCTGTACCCCATTTCTAATAAACCAAGAGATAGCTATAGGATTTTATTTCATAAGATGTAGACAGGATGTTTGAATGAGATATACTGTAGCAGTTGGGGTGTGCTGCAATATATCTCATTCAAATATCCTGTCTATTGGTTTCATGGCAGACAATTTTTCCACAGACTGGGAGGTGGGGGGATGGTTTCCATTTTGCACATTTATCCGCCACTCACTTCCTCAGCAGGGATTGGAGACTCCTGATACACTGTTTGGGATGAAGACCAATAAACTGAGATTTGACTCTGATCAAACAAAGATATTCTTAGAACATTGTTCATGTTCCATCAAGCCATTTCAATCTGGTTTGAAGAGGACTATACTCTTATTAAATATCAGATCCATAATGTAGGATTTGATCCACCACTGTTGGTGACTTTTAATAAGCTTAGACTGATATAATAACTGTGATGGTATTTGAGCAGAGAAAATCTTTTTGTCGTTATCCCACTTCAGCTAGCCTAGCCTGCTTAGATTGCTGCCAATAACTGTAAGCTTTCACCATTATGAGATGACAAAAATGTAAAAACCTAGGGTATGCATGGTACATCCAAACTTTAGGCAAGATTACATCGATATTTGTTCTGATGTGTTTAGAATTTCACTCTTGGGATAGTACACAAAACAGTTTAACAGTAACACAACGCATATATTTGGGGTGGGTGGGAATTACAATGTTGTTTTATTGTAGTTAACTAAAAATCCAGTTTACATGTGCCCAGTGTTAGGATATCATACAATCATTATCCTGGTTCCTGTTTTTCAAGCTAGTTTCAGATTAAATCTGAACTGGATTCCTGCAACTACTTTTCTGCGCTTGAAGAAAGTCTGGTTTTCAATGTCAGATAGTTAGAATCAGAATTCTCCAATAAGTTGAGAGAATACCTCCTAAGTTTGGTTTGCTTGGTTTGGTTTTTGTTTTGTTTTGTTTTGTTTTGCCTGGCCTGGAAGCTTCTGCTAGGAAGGCTGATGATCCTGAAAATTCAAAGGATGAGTTGGGTGGGGTGGTGCGAAGGTATTTATACTTCATCAGTTAAAACATAGTCCAAGCAAATAATCTTTTAAAACTCCTAAGAAATCACCTCTGCTTATTTTCACAGATTTAAGACACTGATGACCAATAAAACAGGACAAGACAGCCAAGGCAATAAGATTGTGGAAATTAGTGACATGAGATACAATATCTTCAAGGTGGGTTTCAAAGAATAGTTCAGTTTATTCTTTCAATTGTCCAACACTGAAATGTGGAGCTGTGACATTTATCTTCTGATGCTTAGCACATTTGAACAGTAAGACAGCAATGATTAACTCTGAGTAAAGATAGTGGTTTATGCTTATGTCCATGGGGTGAGGCCAAATCAGCAGCAACAATAAAAACCCTGCCAGTTTTTTTTTTCATCAGATAGGCCAGATCCACCCAAAGTTCACTTTTTCCATTATAAGTGTTCCTGAAATGCAAGCACATACTGAAGAATAGTCATTTTATTTAGCAAAAGTATATTCCATAGATAGTAACCAAAGCTTCCCAGGCATAATTTTCATGCTCTGTTGAACAAATTAAATATGAATAGACCAAAAAATCTTGCTGGCTTTATATTAAATCCACTTAAGCAATTGAAAGCTTATGAGGCTTTCTTGTAAAAACAAAACTTGAATGTGGAATATTTTAAAATAGATACATAACCTAGGATGTGGAAAGTTGTCAAAAGGCAATAAATAAAGCTGACTTTGACATGGAAAAAGTAAATCAGTAAAATCTTAATACACAGCAGCATATTTCGCTCTCTAGTTTTGTTTTTACAGAGCAAGCTGAAAATATGTAAAAGCTAGAAACCCAGAAAAGATTATATTGAAAGACTATCAAAAGAATCAGTTGGTTTTCTTCAACTCTCAGTCAATTGTATTTATTTATTTCTTTTGGCATTTAATTTTATTTATTGATTGATTGATTTGATTTATATTGCTGCCTATTCGCCCATGGCGACTCAAGGCGGCTTACACAATGTAAAATCATATTTAAAACAAAAAATAAAAATAAAAAACAATAAGAACTAACAAAAAGAATCAAATAAATTAGTAAAGTAAATGGAACAGAATTTGGGAAAACAAAAACAAAAAACAACTACCACCCACCCCCATCCCGACGACAGCAGGTCACACTAGCCATTTGGTGGGTTCCATCCCTCTCTGGGTTCCCCAGGCCCACTGGCAAAACCAGGTCTTCAATGCCTTTCGGAATAGTATTAATGAGGGGGCCATTCTAATCTCTGGGGAAATGATGTTCCAGGGAGATGGAGCCACCACGGAGAAGGCCCTTCTTCTAGGTCCCACCAGGTGTATCTCCCTCAGGGGTGGGACTCGCAATATTCCCTGCCTCCTCGCTCTAATGGGTCAGGTAGATGTCACTGGCAAGAGATGTTTCCTCAGATAACCTGGACCCAAGCCATGAAGGGCTTTAAAGGTGACAACCAGCACCTTGAATTGCACCCGGAAACAAGTTGGCAGCCAATGCAGCTCCTGCAGGAGAGGTGATACATGTGCACACCAGGGTCTGCATAAAACCATGCGGGCCGCTGCATTTTGCACCAACTGGAGCTCCCGGATGCTCTTCAAGGGCAGCCCCATGTAGAGCGCATTGCAATAATCAAGACGGGAAGTGACCAGGGCATGAGTGACTGTGAGTAGGGACCACTGATCCAGGAAAGGGCATAACTGATGCACAACCCGCAGTTGCACAACAGGAGTCGTGAGTCCAGGAGAACCCTCAGATTACACACAGGGTCTGTTTGGGGTAGTGCCACCCCATCCAAGACTAAAGGTGGCAATTCTCTCTGATCCAACAAACCCCAGACCCAGAGCCAATAAGTCTTGCATGGGTTTAGTTTCAACCCATTCCTCCCCATCCAGCCCCTAACAGCTTCCAGGCATTGCGAGAGGGAGGACACAGCAACACTTAACTTGCCATGGGCCGAGGCATACAGCTGAGTATCATCAGCATATTGGTGATACCTCAGTCCATGGTGACAGATGATCTCACCCAGTGGTTTCATATAAATGTTGAACAGGAGTGGAGAGAGTATCCAGCCCTGTGGAACCCCGTAAAGCAGCGGGCGAGGGTTGGATCTCTCTCCTCCTATCAACACTGACTGAGAGCGGCCGCAGAGGAAGGAAATGAACCAAGACAGCACAAGTCCTCCCACTCCTATCCCCCGAAGCCGTCTCAGGAGAATCCCATGGTCAATGGTATCAAAAGCCGCTGAGAGGTCAAGTAGAGCAAAGATGGATACACTACCCCCATCCTGCTCCCGCCAGAAATCATCCAAAAGTGCAACCAATGCTGTTTCTGTCCCAAATCCAGGCTTGAATCTTAATTGGTAGGGGTTAAGATAACCCATTTCATCCAGAAACCTCTGGAGCTGCTGCGCGACCACCTTCTCAACAACCTTCCCCAAAAAGAGAAGATTGGAGACAGGTCGGAAATTATCCAACCGGGTGGAGTCCAGCGATAGCTTCTTAAGAAAAAGGTGGACCACAGCCTCCTTAAAGTGCTGGGGCACTGTCCCCTCCTGTAGAGAAGCATTAATCACTGCCAGAGTCCACCCACCTGTCACCTCCTGGGAAGCTTTCACAAGCCAGGAGGGACATGGGTCTAAAATACAGGTGCTCACGCGCATCCTCCCTAGGATCCTTCCACATCCTCAGGAGCAACAGGGTCAAACCATTCCCACATAATAGGGCAAGAACCTGCCACAGAAGCTTCCACCTGATCAGCAACCACGCCGGCATCTAACTGGGAACGAAGTCAAGCGATAATCCACAAATTCCTCACCGCACCCCTTCAAGTGGACATAATTATATGTCTATGGAGATTCTCAATCATCCAGGTCATGGAAGTCCAGTTGCCTCTTAGTTATGTTGCAATGAACTAGGTGAAGACAGAAGCGTTTAGGATTCTATTGACCAGGGTTTGTAAACTTTACACCAGTCTTTGCAAGCCAGATCTATCCACCATTAGGGTCGATCTTTTTTTAAATTGATTTATAACATAAAAAACAAAAAATACAAAAGAAAATAGTAGGAAAATAGAGGAGGGAGAAAGGAAGGGAAAAGTGTAGGGAAAAGTGGAAAAATAAAGAACGTTGACTTCCGACTCCCTTTGGTGCAGTAGAATAAGATAATAGCACCAACCTCAACTTTTTACTTTTACATAATAGTATAAACTAGCCATTTCTATAACAACAAACCTTTCTGATTGGTAAAATCAGTTTCATTTTTTTTTTCCGCCTCAAGCACAAAGTCCAGAAGTGGTTTCCAAGTAGAAACGATAGTATTTTTTTTCTTCAATCAAGGCAATCAATTTAGACCTCTCTGCTAACTCCATCAACTTTTGCAGCCATTCCATCCATTGTGAGAATCAAAGGGTCCTTTGATTTTTGTGCATAAAGTAATCTTGCTGCCGTCAACATACATAATATCAAATGTTATGGTTCATCTTTGAAGTCTTTATGGGAGAGTTAATGCTGCATGTTGCATTTGCTTTCATCTCAGTAGTGGAAGGTTTCTGTCGGTTCCTGTTACAGACTTTCTAATGCTCTACCTTTCTTCTTTTAGATGCTGATGCAGTATTTATATTATGGAGGAACGGAAGCCATGGAAATCCCCATAGCTGATATCCTAGAGGTGAGCATTTGCCTCTCATTGACTTTTGACATATGTCTAATGTGTCTTCATTACCAAACTGGTGCTAATTGCAGGAACACTTATCTGCACATTGAGTAAATGAATTCTAGAGTTAAAACTGTTTATCCAACCTGTGTGCAAATCAAAACAGCACAAACATTCCTTTGATTGATGGGAATATGATGAAAATATTCTAGACTAATTTTCAGAAATGTATATTGAATAAACTGCATCAATGCGTGCCCAGAGAGATTCTCTGGGTAGAAAAAAAAACAGGTTATAAATTGATGCGTGAAAGAATATTGCTTTTCGTCTACTTCAACTTTCTCCAGCTTGCTAAAGTTTGTAATTGTTATCTCAAACCATTCATTACTGCAAATGATGGAGCTGTCAATTTGTTTGGAGATAGCCTATAGTACTGAACTACCTGTGGGACAGTCAAAAAGAAGAAAATGGTGCAGTAGTCAAAAAAAAAGGAACAATCTGGCAGCTTTGAGATTAACAGGAGTATTATAAAATGTAAAGTGCAAAACAGAGAGGATTAAAGATAAGCACCAAGGCTAAAATAATGACAGATATTGGGAATAATCAAGTAGAAATAATCTTGAGAAAAAAGATAAGGAAGTTAGTCTTCATCATGCTGAGATAAGCAACAAGGATGAGACCTCTGAGTCAGGCACGTAGGTGTAGACGTAAAATCTTGGGACTTGTGGTTGAGCAACACAATTACAGCTTGAAGAGCTTAGTTAAACTGCAGAGTTTCACATACATACAAAATGCAGCCATCACACCATTGCAATATCTTTGTAATATCTCTGGGGATTACTAGTTATCATGGGAATATTTTTACGCTTGTTGGAAGATTGGAATTGTTTTACACATAGTATCAAGAAGGAGATGGTTACGGCACCAGACTAGAAACCAGGAGATTGTGAGTTCTAGTCTTGCCTTAGGCATGAAAGCTATCTGGGTGACTTTGGGCCAGTTATTCTTAGCCCACCCAATGCACCTCACAGGATTGTTGTGGGGAAAAGGAATATTGTGTACATTTGCTTAAATTGTTCCTAAAAATAATAAATGCAGGAAATAAATAAATAACAACATTGGTGACCTTTCAAACTGGATGTTTTTAATAACTTATAGCATTGACTAGCCTTTGTTTGTCTTGAAAAATTAAGGACAATGAATTATAATAGAACTATGCACTTACATGAAGGACCATGCAAAAATTATAGGGCTGCAATGGAAAGGTGAAAAAATAGCCCAAAAGGCAGCAGTGACAAACCACATCCACATACAAATGTGAGCATATCTAAGATTTCATGTTGATCTGAAAGAAACTATATGTTATCATATAGAAAGCTTCCTATCCCAGCAACCTTGGACAGAGACATTATTAGGGTATATTATTCCTCAACTAAGCATTCCAAATTTTCTGGAAAAAATGCAGTTTGGAGGTATTGCTTAATCCCTCATGATTACTAGTGTATCTCTTGTGACTCAGATGCCTTTAACAATTTGAATTGATAAATCAGGACAAAAGCTATTGTGCAAAGGCAACTTTCAAAATAGTCCCCAAAAATTTATAGGGCTGCAAGATTTCTCCTCCCTTGTATTCCTACATGAACACTGACATCCTTTTGAAAGGCCTCTTTCAAGTGAGATTACAATAAATAAGATAGTGAGGCTTATTCTGCATTTTCTTCGATTCCTGGTAAATACGTTTAGTTCTAAAAATTCATTTATTATTTTTTAAATACACACTGATATTTTTCATTTTTAAGGTGTGTTACATTTTAAGCATTTTGGGGGGGCATGTCACCCAAAGGACTTCAGTTCAGGGGTGACCTAGAAATATTGCATGTCAATGGAATGAGCAGAATGTTAAAATAATGCCTTCTCTTTCATCCTGGCCAGTTGCTGTCAGCTGCAAGTTTATTCCAGTTGGATGGCCTTCAGCGCTACTGTGAGATACTGTGTGCTCAGACAATCAATACTGAAAGCTGTGTTCACATCTATAAATATGCCAAGGTAAAGATGACATTTTCGTCAACTTCCATGTATAAGATGCCAAATCTTAGGAATTAGAAAAATGGCCTTAAACGCATCAGAAGCTGGAAACCAGGAAAGAGGTCTTATAGAAGGACAGCATTAGGAGAGATTCCCCCATCTATGTGGGGAAACCCAGTATTGCAAAATAAACAATTCCATGGGTGGCAGCTGAATATGAAGAACCCAGGCTTGGGAACCACTTCTCCCCCTTGAATTTACTCAGTGGTGCTATTCAACTGGTGTAACAGCCGGTTCGCACAGCATTTAAAAAAGCTCATTTTCAGCTCAAATACTTAACTTCTACTGCAGCCCCTGTGAATAAAACATCTGAGGCGTGGCAAACCTCTCTGCCACGTGAATCAGCTGTGCTCTAAAATAAAATGAAATAAAGCACCGGAACTCACCGAAACTACCAGTTCACCTGAACCGGTCCAAACCGGTAGAATCCCACCCCTGGCTTTACTTCAATAATTCCTTTCCTTCGTAAGACCCATCTTACATGCCTCAAATTTGCTTGACTGTTAAAACTGGAACCTGCTCTTTATTCTGCCACATTAATTGCAGTGTCCCATAACCAAACAGGTGCAGGTAATCCTTGTTTAACAGCCCCAATTGGTTGGGCCGACAACTCTGTTATCTGTTAAGCAAAGCGGTTGCTAAGTGAAACCGTGACTCTGTTTTATGAACTTCCTTCAGCTTTCCTTTGCCCTGTGAAGGTCATCAATTGTGAGAATTGGTTGTAAAGTTGCTTTTTCATTCCTATTGTTACCTGTGAATAGTTGCTAAACAAGTACTGCCTATATTAGCCTGGCAGTTTCACTGACCAGTTGCTAATTCCCTTTTAAGGCTTCCTTTACTTTGGCTGAACAAGTAACAGGGAAAAAGAGGGTTTAAAGGGGAGGGGGATTTTAACCACTTTAAAATATCCCTGTGGAATAGCCACAGAGAAAGTGAGTGGACACACACACACACAAAATAGATGGTACTTTTTAACCACAGAATGAAAATGTTCTCAGGCATTTGCTATTAGGATGAAGCTGTCTTTGGAGGGAGGAGGGGGGATAATTGACAGCTGCCTAATATGTATTTTATCACAGCTTCTCTTTGTCTTTTATAGATCCATAATGCCCCAGAGCTGGCCTCTTTTTGCGAAGGCTTTTTTCTCAAGCATATGAATTCCCTGGTGCAGCAGGAATCGTTCAGGCAGCTCATCTATGGCAGGAACAGCAGGGTTCAGGGCCTGGATCCCCTCCAGGATTTGCAGTCCACTTTGGCCAGCAGACTTCATTCCGTTTATGTAACTTCAAGAGTGTAATTGATAAGATCCGCAGCCCTGCTGTGAAGGAAAGCACCTGCTCATTGAACTGCACTGAAATGGGATCTTGGCCCCATTGTGGTTGCTTCATCCAGCTTTTGGAGACAGTGCCTCTTCCACCACCTCAGCAAACTTATCCAAATGCAAGAAAAATAACTCTGCACATGCCACAACAGTTTTACCTGAAAACGGATGAGCAGAATCTGAGGTGGGATGCTGCTATTCTGCTAGGTACGCATCACAAAGGAGAACTCAGGGGGAAATTCACTTCTAAGTGTCCAAAGGTTTGCTTAGAAGAATGCACAAACCATAGTTGGCATTTAGCTGGAGAGTGGACTGTTTAAAAAATGGCTATGAATGTAGAAATTCCAATTTCTCTCAACTTTGACTACCCAAACTGTCTAATATTGGGCTACCTGATTCCACCAGAGTGCCATACTGTAAACATCTGGCTTTTGCTTTGTCCACTGAGACGTGCAGGTTCAGTAGGTGCTAAAGCTAAAAAAGAAGCTAGTTTTTAAGATACAATAATATGCTACGTAATAGATTCTAGGTTATTTTGGCCTCAGTTTTTAACTAGCTCTGGCTGTCCATTTTTGTATTTAAAAAAACATAACCTGGTATCCCTAATATTTACAGCTACCCACGTCTGTGTGCAAATTATTATCGCTAAGACCATCACACTGTGGTATCTACGATACTGGTTGTTACAGATAGAATTTCTCTCATTTCTGCAATATAGTTGTATATAAAGGTTGGGGCTTGCTTTGTCAATGCTATATTATAGCAAAAATTGCCTGAAATGCCTGATCTGGTACTTATGATCTGGACCACCGTCCCCCTGGGAATTATGTGCATCACACACAGAAATACGACTAGCCAATTCCGACTAAAGAGATCTCTGTATAGAAAGATTGTATATTTGTGCATATCATTTTTGGGACTGGAAGTTGCAAGCAATAATCGACCTCCATGCAGACTACACATGCTGCCTGAATCGTATGATTTCGAATGAGAGCCTCATTTAAATACTGCTACTGCACCATTTGCTGCATGTGACAGCATGCTGACTGACTAAACTGGATTTCAGCTAGTGTAGGTGAATCAGGCCTGGCTGGGTTCAAATTCCAATATGAAATCATTGTAAGTAATTGAACAAGGACTTTTGCACATGTCATCTCACCATTTGAGTCAGAAAGTCAGTATGACTGGGACAAATTATTTTCATTTCCCTCCACATACGCTTCAGTCTCCATTGAAATTTAAGGGTTGACCTGGGAAATATTTGAAATAGGAACATGCTTCCCCTCTTTCCAATGCTCAATGTTTTACTTCTACCTTTGAATGGACTAGAAAATAGTAACTTAGGATATCGTTTTAATAATTGTGTATTAACAAAGGGATTACGGTTACCAGTTGGGGAAAGATGCATAAATCAAATATTTTTTGAAGGATAGATTGTCAAACTAATCAAGGGGGAAAGAAGTCAAGTCAAATGGGAAGGGCGCTAGGCATGTGCCACAAGAGTTTTTATGGTGTTCCAGGGAAGATAATGGAAGAGTAATGGAAATCGTGTAAATAGATACATAGATGTTTCAGAAGCAAGAGAGGCTTTCCCCATAATTATCTATTTCGGAGTTTAATGTCCTCACCGTAAAAATCTTCATTTTTAACAGAGAGAAAAGCATTCAATACAGAATGAACCGCATTTACAAATATTACATTTGGTTTAAGGATATAAAGATTGAAGCAGTTCAGCAATAACACAAGCCATAATTGTGACTGAGCCAGCGGGGTTGGGTAAACTAACTGAGGAAAAATTATTTTTCTCGGGTATCTTGCTCCTTTATCAGTTACAATCTGTGCCTAAAGAGTTCGGTACGTTTCCATAATGCATGTAAGTCACATGGTACAAAGGCAATACCTAAAATATTTATAAATGGATCAAGAAAGAAGTGAGATAGATGGAGAGGAATCAAAACATGAGAACTGTATGAATTACCTACACATTTCAACTCTTACTTACAGAATAGCCCTACATATTAAAAATGATAAGCTATAAATCTTTTATTTTTTTCAAATCTGGATCCGCAAAACAAACACAAGCTCCTCACATCCTCCAGATCACGGAAAAATGTAAGATTTCTCATGAAGTAGTTAGGAAATACCCCAAAGTTTGTCATTTTGGAAAATAATTTTCAAATAGCTGATTTAGCTACCTGTACAAAAATCTGTTGTATTGTGATAATGTCTGCTATATTGACTGTACATTAATGTTGTCATTTATGTAAATGTCCCATATTTTATTAACATGACACTTGGTTAAACTTTTCAGATGGTGTAATGCTTAATAATTTAAAATGGTGTAAGAAAACAAAATGGGCTATATAAGTACGGTCTGTCTCTCCCCCCCAC